TTCTTGTGTATCAATCTTCACCAATACAGAAATCTTCAATTTATATGAAAGGCAGGGGATTTCCTTAACCACCATTGGCATATACAAGCATTCCCACATCTGTCCATCCAAGCTCCAACGACACCAATACAAAATCTTTTTCTTCTTACTCTTCTGAGTCCCAAAACATGATTTTGAGTAATAAATCTTCCCCAGCTAGCTCTCTCAGTGTTGACAAAAAAGGCCAACATCTATCAGCTGCTGCCCCCTCTGGGAAAAATATTCTTATACACATATCAGCAACCTTCTTCATCAACACCAAAATTCACCCCCCTGTTAAACCTGAAGGCAATCTGCAAAGCTTTTCCTGCACCTTTGGTGCTTTTAATCAATGAAAATGGGTCCTCTAACTCCAAAGAGATTGGACAAGTAGGAGGCAATCGATCTCATGTCTAACAAGGGAAGAGGAGGTTTAAGAACCTTTATCATTTCTCTGGATCCTAAAAGGGTCCAGGCAATCTAGCTTCAATAATGAAGCCAAAAGACTTCCTTTCTATGACCAGAAGTCTTCTTGGTAAGCAGACTGGCATGAGATGTAGATTCGCAAGGAGACACACTAGATGCTTCCTCTCTCACTCAAGGACTGCTAGCTACGTACGCATGATTTTGTAACTGAAAAACAAGTAAGTTAACTTTGATTTGGCTGGTAGAATGAATATAAAAGAGTAACTTTTACCTCTACTCTCGTAAAACCACAGCTGACCAGTTCTCCACTTTCCCAAGCTGAAGTTATAAACTTGAGAGGCATATCCAATAAATCTGGAAGAAGAAAAAAAAGTTTCAGTTGCAAGTTCACTAAGTTGGTCCAATTTCAAAACAGAACAAGAGAATATAATGAAAACATGCCTGCTAGTTTGTGGATTTTGCAGTAAGATGGTATTAGGTCATCAATACGACATCTTGAGTCCTCTGACTTTCCTTCTTGGTTGACAGAAACCAGGGAATCCAATAAAGAAGACAGGCTTTCCAGCATCAAATGAATCAATCTTTGAAGCTGAAAATACATGGACATTTAATGTACAAGCATTCTAATTTTGAAAAGATAACTGAGAAACAAATTAGATCATACCTGTAATGATTCTTCTGCAGCAATATCATCTAGGAGTAGTATGTCTCCTGTGATTCTAGAAAAGACTGAGTCTAAAACTGTGCACATGCTTCTCTTGTAAGTTGAGGGCAGTAAGAGTGGCTCCCATATGATATGTACTTTCTCAAGAATAAAGACAACCTGTCAAGCAGAATATAACTCTACTAAGTGGAAAAGTACAGCCAGACAAATAAAGGGAAATAAGAAACAGCAAAAACTATATAAGAGTGCCACCTGATCTATGCTAAACTTTGCAGATTCAAATTGTTGCATTTGGTGGGTATTCTGAAATCCGTCAGCACCATCTACAGCCTGATAGATAACAGCAGTTGTGAAGAAAAATAACCATTAAAATTCGTAGTTGGGTGAATTCTAAAGTTGCTGCAAGACATTGAGAACGTGGTAACAAATTTACCTCTCTCAAATTGAAAATGACACGTTCAATTTGCCTCTGCAGTATATCTTCTGCCATTAAATGAAATCTTGGAGCCATATCAACAAAAACGGCATGTTCTTTAAGTGAACTTGGAAAATCTGAGCAATACTGAAGCAAACGTGTGCAAGCACATTAGTTCAAAAAATATTTTTGCAGTAACTTTCCCCTCCATAAGAGAGTTGTTGTGAATTAAATAACTCAATTCATATCAATTATATATACTACTAAAATGGAAAAACAAGTCATTTCATAGAAATATTCCCCGCATCCACAAGAGATCACGTTCAAAGATTATAACCAGGTATAAATGTTACAAATGGTAAGTGTATGCAAGAGTGATTTCATAATTGTGAAGAGCTTAAAATGTTAGGATCACTTCCACATACCTCAAATGCAAGTCCAAGTATCTCTTGAGATAAATAAAGACAATCATTGTGCATTAGAACAGCAACCTGATTGATGCCATCAAGCTGCCTCTCTAGCTTCATAACCCAAGCATAGAAAAAAGAAGTTAACATTCCTAGCTCAATAAAGAGGCTTCTTGTAGGTCATGCATAATACATAACATGAAATAAGAATATACAACTGCCATAAACAGATCAAATCATTAAAAAAAAATGAAGTCACTCGTGTTTTCTTGATTATGATTGGCATAGCTTCCGAACTAAAACATGATAACATTTTGCCAAAACAAAGTTTTAGGGCATGGACTCCATAATTCTGATTTGAATTATTAAGAGGGTGTTTTGGCTCTAACTTGGCACTTTAAGCACATTCCTCTTCAGCAACCTCAAACACCCTCTAAATTTCACATGAAATAACATGAGTATTTAGGCATAGCAAGTAATATAAATACCAAGTAGTGCACAATCACATAGATGATGTTTCTTTGTTGCAAAGCACTTCTTTTCATCCATGTTACAACAAGTATAATAAATTAAGAACAAATGTGTTCCTAAATACATGCTTTTCGAGTTTTAGCTCTAAATTTCCGCAAGCCAAAATATACCATGCGTAAATAATGGCCCCCTGGTGGTTCTAATTACAAATACTACTAATCATCATACACGGTAATCAAGTGAAGAGACATATCCTTGTTCTAACCTTAACAGGAATAATAGCTTCATACAGGAGTATGGAGTCCCTAGCAGCATGATAGAACTCCAAAGCAACTCTGGCAGAGGACATGCAAATATCCTATAAAGAAGCGAAACAGGGACAACAATCTCATCTAGAGGTCAAACTTCAAAATATCTGAAATTTCGACAGCATAAAGTGAAACTCAAATCATTCTGGCCCTCAAATTAGTTACCTTAAGTGTCTTATGAACTAAACCCATTAACTGAGAAGCTGCTTTGGATACAATACACCTCTCAGATAAGAAAAGTAAGTCAGCAACATGCCCACTAGAATTAACAGTTTGACCATCATTTTTGAACATGGGACTTTTGACTTCCTGCAGAGAACTTTTGTAAATCAAACTCTTAGAAGAGAAACCAAAATATACATTCTGGTCACAGACACTCACCTGCGGAACTGCAAAGTCACACTCGAGAAGCAAATTTCTAGCTTTTGCCAAGATTTCTGTTT